CCCTCCGCCTAGTCGTGGTGCGCCCGGCCGCGGTGGGCCCGCGGGCGGCGGCGAGGAGCCTGGGCTTGGGCAGCCAGCACGACAGCCCTGTGGACCGGAGGCTGCGGGCCTGCCCCGCTGGGTTTGGGGGATAGGGGGGAGGCGAGAGGCGAAGGGCCGCACCGCAGGAGCCGGTCCTCGCCCTCGCCCCCGCCCCCTGCGAGGACGCGCCGGAGGCTCGGCTCCGCTCGCGGTGGGGCCACGCTCCCTCTCCCCGAGCGCGAGGTGGGGGATGCGGGAAGCGGCCCCCCCGAGCTCCAGGACCCTCCCCCCCGGGGCTCCGGAGCGGTTGCTCCGCCCGCCGCCCCCTCCCCCGTCCTCTCCACCCCCCCATCCCACCTCCCCACCCCTCGGAAGAAAATAATGCTGGCTGGCGCCCGCACCTCTCAGTCGCTCCCAGTCCGCCTCGAGGAAAGGGCACCCGCTGCGTCTCCGCGCCCGGACCCCTGCCGAGCCGCCCTCGCCACCACCTCGCCCCGAGAGCCGCCGCGCGCCGCTTAGGCAGAATCTACCAGCGCGCCGCGCCCCAACACTGCCGGCTCCGGGAAGCCGCCGCCCGCAAGGACACCTCTCCGTCCCGCCTCGTCCGCAACTCCGGCCCTCGTCGGGCTCCACGCGAACCAAGAGTCGGGACGCCTCGGTGCGCGCGGCGCCGCAGCCGAAGCGGCCCCCGCTGCCCGCTCTCCGAGCCAACTCCTCCTCGGACCTGGGACTCCACACGCGGATCCTCAGCGACTTCTTCTTCTCACCTCGGGGCTACCCGGGTCTCCCCGCTCACCTTCCCGCTGCCCTCCACCGCTCAGGACGGGGGTGCCAAGATGCCCCGCTACTGCGCAGGGCCCCGGGCCTCCCTCGACGTGTGACCCCAGCCTGGTCCCCCTGCTCGGCCGTCCACCCTCTCCTTGGAGACCCCCGGCCCGGCCCCCGGGGGAGGAGGAGGAAGACGACGAGGCCGAGGGGGGAATGTCCGGCTCCCAAAGCGTGAGCCCCCCGGGCTACGCGGCGCAGACAGCAGCGCCGACGTCCCGGGGAGGCCCGGAGCACCGTTCGGCGTGGGGGGAGGCCGATTCCCGCGCCAATGGCTATCCCCATACCCCCGGGGGCTCCACGCGCGGCTCCACCAAGAAACCCGGGGGGGCGGTGACCCCGCAACAGCAGCAGCGCCTGGCCAGCCGCTGGCGCGGCGGCGACGACGACGACGATCCTCCGCTGAGCGGCGACGATCCCCTGGCTGGGGGCTTCGGTTTCAGCTTCCGCTCCAAGTCAGCCTGGCAGGAGCGCGGTGG